AGACTGCGAGACCTGTACTGGTGGCCAGGCATGGACCAGGCTGTGGAGGAACAGGTAAAGGGCTGTCAGATCTGCTCTCTCGCAGACAAGACGGCGTCACCGCGACACGCGCCCATGCAGCCCGTTCAACTCCCATGTGAGCCATGGTCTAAACTGGGAATCGACTTCATCGGGCCGATGAGTGGAGGTCGACCCGGCCAGAGGTTTGCCGTCGTCGCTATCGACTACTATTCGAAATGGATCGAGGTGGGATTTTGCGAGCACCCAACGTCAGAGGTGGTGATACAGTTTATGGAAAAGTTGGCGTGCCGGGAAGGGTACCCGAGAGAGATTGTATCTGACTGTGGGTCTGCATTTACGTCGGAACGATTCGCTTCTTACTTGCGGAATGTGGGTGTTGCCCATATCAAAGTGTCTCCCTACCACCCACAGTCATCAGGTCAAGTAGAGCGAGCCAACAAAACAGTGAAAGCGGCACTGCAGATAGCTGACCTGGAAAAGGCTGACCGGTCTCAATATCTGCAGATGTTCCTGTTCTCGTACCGGAGTACGGTGCAGGCGACCACTGGAAGGAGCCCGGCTGAGCTGCTTCACGGACGACCAATGAGGGGCAAGCTTAGCGCGGCACTGGACGTCGGCGGACATCATCCAGCGAGACCTGGTGACCTGCATGAGCACGTGAAGCGGAAACAAACCTATCAGAAGACGTACTTCGACCGCTCCCACGGAGTCAAGACGCCCAGCTTCTCTGTGGGAGACCAGGTCCGTCACCGGCTTCCTCCGCAGGCGCGGAAGGGGCAGCTCCGGTTTTCGGCGACCAAAAGGATCGTGCAGCAGCGGGGGCCAGCGAGCTATCTGCTGGATGACGGCACCCGCGTCCACGCTGACCGCCTGACGCGGAGCGCCGGTAGCTGCCCAGCAGAGATCGACGACCGGAGAGGCGAGCCGGCGCAGCCCGACGGTGCAGCCGACCGGACGGGACCGACTGACGCGGAGCTGGAGTCGTCTGGCGACCGCGACCGGCTGGAGCAGCAGGAGCAGGACAGGCTGGAGGCGAGACCGGAACCAGAGACAACTGACAGTCACCTCCGGCGGGACGGGCAGCAGCTGGACGTGCCGCCGACGGCCCTGGAGGCGGACGAAACGACCAGCGGCCGCTCGTCGACGCAGCCTGACACGGGGACGGCGACAGGGACTGGAGGGCGACGGACGCGAACCGACCTTCAGCAAGGGCAGACGAGCTCGGCGGAGGAGGAGTCTGGTGTCGTCCGACCAAGGCTGCCGGAGACGGGCACAGGAGTGACAACGAGATCGGGAAGAGCTGTTCGCGCTCCAGTGTACTATGGATTCAATACTTAACCGGTTGTCGTACTGTAATAATCGCCTGAGGTCTCGGATGTTGTTCTGCTTTTGCGTCTGCTGTACTTAGAAGTTCAGTTACTTTGCACTTTACTGGCACGGGCGAATATGAGCTGTGAAATGAAGTCACTATTTTTGTTGTAGGGGAGGAGGAAATGTAGTATTTAGTGGCCTTATGTCACCCGTCAGTGCTGCCGCCTGGCGGGTGACCTTGGAGGGCCGAGCGGCCGGGGTCAGGGACGAGGGCAGTCTTGGTGCGGAGCTCGCGGTGGACGCTCGGCTGCGGTGCTGCTGTGCGTTATGTCGTTTTACTAATAACTGTCTTGACTTTGTGTGTTCTGCCAATACACGGCAAGACAGTACAGGTAGGTCCTCCCTTGTCTGGTGGTGGAGAATATGGATTGCGGTATCGCTGCCTTCTGCTGAAGTGTGATGACTGTCCATATTTCAGCTAAACGCTATGCATTGCAAAGCCGACAATTTAATGACCGTCAGCATGCACGATACACACAAGAAAACCACGAAGGCCCATTGCCACTTGTAACGTTCACAGGCAGCGTCTCCGGGCGTAAGAGACCCTGAAAAAATCACGCATTATCACACGGAGTACAGTTAGCCCCACGGCAAACAGACTGAATCGGACACTACGCCTTGCTCTACCGGCCGATACATGGTGCATGACCAGCCTAGATAGGATACAGTAAAAACGCAGCCAAACACATACACAAGTATGCCAGTCAGACCACAAAATCCTTGAAGGTTTCCCTATGCCTAGAGTGGTTGAGTCAGTTATCAGCAGGCACAGGCCGATGAGTGCTGTTGCTAAAACCGACAGCTTGACAAGCCTGACATTGATATCATCCCGACAAATCCGGCCTTCATTTCTACCATCCGTCTAGTCTCCACAACACGAATCTGAATTTCTCAGTGGGCATCCAATGTCCATAACAGCCAGCCTCAGCTCGGCATAGCCTGTTCAACCTCAGTCGGTCCAGCGGACAGCAGTGGCCTTCCTCGGCCGCCGCACACCGCGGGCACGCCATCTTCAGGGTCACAGCGAGCACGCGCGCCGCCCGCCCACCTGCTGCCGCCGGGCGCCGCACAGCCAGTGCCGCGGGCCAATTTCAGGCCTCTGTTCCATTCCATTCCAGGTCAGGTTTTTCCTCGACAATTCAGAACGCTAATCATGCCAAACAAAGTCATAGGAACAGCAGGCTGCAGGAAAACAGCTTCTCCAAACAAGCTCACTAGCTGCGAGACATTAGCTGTTTCGGTCCAACTCCCACGCCTGGACATTACCAAAACAAACGAAAAAAGAAACTTACTGTATTTGGTCCAACAATCATAACGGTGCGATCACGAACCCGCGCTGGGTGCTGCTGATCGTGCCGTGGCTGTCGTTACGGTTATTACGGGTGACTATAACGCTAATGGTGATGGGTGCCATCACGTCCTAGCCCGCTCCGGTCGTACCGGCCACCACTGCCTCATCAGTCGGCACTTATTCCACGGAGCGCCATTCAGGGAATGGCCGCTCCCACCGCCCGCTAATCTGAGCCGTCCCACCGGCGCCGAACTGTGCTGTCCCACCGCCTGGCCACAGCTCCCACCACCCATCTGCCGGGATCGAAACCGACCCGCCACCCGGTCACCCGCTGGGAATCTGGGTAAATGGAGTAATGGAGCGGGCGCTCGCCGCGCCGCCCAGCAGTGGGCCGCACTCCGGTCTGATTAGGCACGGCTAGAAAACCCACAGCCACGGCCACCGAAACCAGCGACGGAGAAAAATGGAGAGCGGAAAACTGAGATCGAGAAGTCTGCCGGAGCTGGCCGGAGACTGAGAGAAAAAGGTCGAAGCAACAAAGATACAAAACAATCAATGGAATGAGGCAAACGAAGCCGAAGTGTTTCGAAACCGCAGAAGTACGGAGACTGGCCGCCAAGCCACAGACGCTGCTGCCGAGTGCCCACTTCTCCTTGCTCCAGATCTGACAATGGTTGGCCCATCCAGCGGTCTGGCGTGGAGTGTCAGCTGCCAGAGCGGCCGTCGGTCACCTCCGAGGTCAGAGTGGGTCCTTACCTGCGGCAGCGGGGGCCGGCCAAGGGCGCGGGACGCCACCCGCACCGTCACCGAATCCACCGTCATCGCGCCGGAGAGCGTCACTCGACGTCACTTAACGTCACTCGCCGTCACTTGACGCGTGACGCCTATGATACTCGGTGTGACAAGTGGATTCGCTGCGTGACGCCAGCAACAACACCGTACTGCACAGTGCACAGTGAGCGGCTATCACATGGCGTCCGCTGCGGTCGCATCACGTTACTCCAGCTCGACAGCACGGCGAGCATCACGTGACTGGCGCACAGCTGGCGGCGCTGTGACCGGGACAGCTGGCGCCGCCTGCGGGTGGGGCGGTGGCCGACAGACCGACGCGACGGCGCCGCCCCGTCGACCCCGACAGGGGGACGTCGGACGACCGCCACGTGGCGTCGTCGGTCTCCATGGCGCGTTACTCATACTGCGGCTGACTGAACACTGAACAGACCTCTGACCGACCCAGGACGGAGCCACAGCGTGACACCAGTAGAGTAACAGTCCTCAGGAAACAGCACTTGCGGGAGCTGAATGCTAACAAAAGTCGACAGCTGGACGATATCTGGCACAGTCGGTGCATTTAACACAATACCTGTTAAAAAAAAAAACACTATTCATCACTCAAGCTACGTACCACCCTCACCATGACTCATGATGAGAAAAAAAAACGATGAAGCAAGAATCTCGGTAAAAAAAAAGTTTCAGGATAGAAAGATATCTCGCCATGAAATACAGACTACCATGACCCCCGTTTGACAGATAGCCTGGGTCTAGTGTGGGAGGATCGATTCTAACACCGAGGCTGAGACGGCTCCCTAAAGATGAGTTCTAGTGAAAAATGGGATATGGTCGTTCGTGAAATGGAATGAGTCATAATCAAGCAACTGTAACTGGACAAACTGGCGGCTTGTTGCTTCGTGAAAAAAATCGTCTTAATTCGATGATCTGTCTGGCTTGCAGCCAGCGAATCACTACACATAATATTGCATGCTGAAGTCAAAGAAAGAAATAAAAAATGACTTATTCAGGCGCCGTCAATGCCTGTGCTTATCGAGACCTTGAGCAAAGAGACCGGGAAGTAAATGCCAGAGCAGTAAAAGTTCGAATACTGATGGCGCGTGCTGTTATAGTAATCCCCGGAAACCCAGTCGTGAGAGAGAATTACTGCACCTTCTGTGGATAGCCTATGGTTACTGGTATTGGCTGTAAACCAACCCCAATACTATAAGTGAGGAACAATCCCATTGTGAGATCCGTACTTCAACCACACAGCTCAGATAGTCACCTGTAGCCACAGCCGTTCCCGTAGCCCAGTCAGTACAGTGGAAAGTCCCGGTCCCGTATCCCAGTGTAGAGCGCTGGTCTCCGCGTGGTGAGAGCACGCGTTCCCGGTTACAACAGTTCGGGTTCGAAGCGCGATGGGCGCTTGACATTTATGGGCCTCCTGACAGGTATGGTTGCAGTTGGTGGCAGGCCGCAGCCAGGCGAAGTCAGCGAATAAGCACACCTGAAAGGGTACAATACTCCAAAACAAGTAGATACTTACAGGAATCCTGATAACTTGATAGATGTTTTTCTCAGAGCTCTCCATAGCACAGCTGCAGTGTAACAACTTGTCCAACACAAGGAGGCTGTATGTCTTGGAATGTTAGCTTTTCATCAGTATTGGCTCAAGCTGCATTCCCTGAAAAGCAAAATTACTTAGCAAATGCATTGTCTGGGATTCACATATTGGCAGCATTGGTTCCTTTGTTAGAATGCAGCCATAACAAAGCTCGTAACAGGAGTATGAAATTCAAAAGGCATGGACCCAGAATGGTAAATGTGATCTGATCAATGAGCTAGTGAACACACCTCTGACCTCCAACTGCTACACCTTTGCTGTTTACATCACCTGTTATGAGGTGATCTTGATCCTGCTAGAAATCATCAACTAGCCAGGAGCCAACTTATTACATTGATAAGGTAATAAAACCACAAAACAAATTCTTCAGCACAAATTGTGAACTAAAACATGATTATTACCAACAAAAAGGTACATTTTCAATATATTCCTTGAATGTTCATGAATATAAAATACAAACCTGACTATCAAAGATGTAAAAAAAGTCATTCAGTCAATGGTGGACAATTGTGCTGAAACTGGGCAGCAAGGGCGCAACAGATCTGCCACCGCCCAACTCCCATGTAGTGGCCTTGACAGGACTTCCGCCATCTGTTGCACCTTCGAAGCCAAGCTAGCATGGAATTGGAAGCTTGTGCAACCGCAATCCAGCACAACTGTCCACCGCTGCATTCAAAGATTAAGAGCATCAATCAACGCCAGCAACACAGGTCGAAAAAATCATTTAGGACATTACAATGTCTTAACTAACCAACCCATTCCCCATGAACCTACCAGTAACCAGAATAGTGGCAATATCTTGCAACACCCCACGATTCAATTAAGCACTCAAAATAAATAAAAATACAACCTATCGCGAGAGAACTCGTCCACAACCTCCACCCTCTACAAAGAAATTTACTTTTTGCGAATTGCCTTGTTCTGTGTGACAATTGTTGAAAGTGTCAAGTCAGTGTCGATGACGTCATGCACATTTCCACGTCGAAGTTAATCCTTGCAACGAAGCGATTTGCAAATTGTTTTGATTCAAAATGAAACAATTCATGCAATAGATTAGAAATAATCCTCTTTCAATGCCAACTATTTGAAATACTTTACATTGTTGCTATGGATACTGAAGAATACATAAGCTTACAGCCACAAGTCCTGCTGACGAACAGAATGCTTGTCAGAAGTGTTACAATAGTGGCGCAATTATACCAAGCTGTTTTCCTTTCCCTAATATCATGCAAAAATGTTGAAAGAATGTTTCTTGGTGAAGCCATTCGATGAAATCCAGAGATCTGCTACATATGAGCGAAATTCAGCTTTTGAACGATGGGATTTTTAAAGAGAACTCGACACAACAAATGACAAATCGATTCAAAGGGCAAACGTGATTTAGGTTCATGTCTGAGATAAGCTTTAGTGATGCCTTTTCATTAAAGTTGACACTTACTCAGCTAAATATTTCATTTTGCAAACTTTCTGAGATAAATATTTGCCTTCTTTCCAAAAAATGATCTGCTTTGGGCAATCCATCATCATATGATAAGCATGAAACTTGTAAAAGTTGCAGTAAAATAGAAACAGTCAGCTGTTCAAAATAACAAAGTCAATAGTTGCGCATCATTTCTATACCTGGCGCAGCAAGTTTATGTGGTTTTATTTCTTCAGAAGTTCCTGTTTGTGAAGAGTATTGTAATGTTATGGCTAAATTTCTTATTTTTACATAGCCCTTTACAATTGTCTCGAAACCTTGTTGGAAATTTTCCTCCTGGAGTGTCGTACTGAGCTATTGCATCAGCACCAACGCACTTGTTTACACTTCTCTGACTAGTTCAAGTTGGTGGCTTACCTACATCGTTTCAGTTTCATTTTGCGATATTGTTCCGTTTTGTGGAAATAAGGATTGGCCTAGAACTTGCATTTTTGATGTGGCTGGACAATTTCCATTTATCCAGATACTTGTTGGATGGATCAGTGCTTTACTTTTTCTTTTTGCAGATAGCTGAAGAAGAAGACAGGATTACATAACTTGTCACCTTGGGATTCATCAAAGCAAAATGATTCTGAGCAAGCTATGTACCTTGCCAGCATATGGCTTGGGTGGGAAGTATATGTCACTTCAGTTTGTTAACAGTCTTAAGGTGAGTGAGTTCACCTTAAGACTCTTAAGGTGAGTTCACCTAACAGTCTTAAGGTGAGTCAAGAGTACTTAGGTGTTTGCACATACTGTATATAAATTGATCATCAATTTAGCTGTATCATTCCCGGTGTGCCAGTAGTGCCTACCTACAATGCAGGAGAGAACAATGTATTCAACATCAGGCTTATTAATTTTTATGAGTAACTCATTATAAGCTGTAATATTATTAGTTTTGTCTGACACACAGGCAGTTATGTAATATGGTCTACCCAGGTCACTCTTATAAGATACTAATGAGGCATACTTTTTAGCAAGAAAAGCATACTGATTTGTTATAAGTCCAAAAATAATTGAGCTGGTACTGGTAGTTTGCACACCCAAACATAACACTGCATACCAGCTACCTACCTCTTATAAACATGTTTATTTCAGCTGAAACTGAAAATCCTCATGCAGCCATGATCAGCTCATTTGACTGTTAATTGAATTTCACCTGCTCAACTGGGACCCATTTACTGACCACCATTAGCAGTGATTTGTTTTGTATGCTACTGCTCTGATTCATTTAGTGAGAAAGAAGTCCTATCAAAATGTTTGCTTCAGCACCAGACATATACCTGGCACTGAATAGGTATAACCTGATATTTTGGCCCTCAGTTCTCTAACTCAGTTCTGTTGACCATTCATTGGTATTGCCATAGGAAAAAAATAGGCCATCCCACTTCCCTGCCAGTGGCTAGCCTAGCTCTTGACCCTTTCCTGCAAGCAGTACCAATCCCATCAACCACAGATTGTTATTAATTGTAGCCCTGCTGCATATAGTGTCTAAGTGTTGAATAACTTGATAGCAGGCTGTTACTGTGTACTCCAGAACCACAGCAAATGTCAAATAAAGCTAAATGACTCAACTATCAGTCAGTTACTGGAGATGGTAAAAGGCACTGATGCCATATTTCAGTTTCGGACAGATGGTTACTCTAGTACTATTTTTGCCTTTCTGAATGCATGTGTCAATAGCCATGTTGATTTAATTTGTGTGTTTCAGAGTGGGCTCCAAAGCTCTGCAAAGCTCTCATTTGCAAGAACTTCAAAGGTGCAGGAGTCAACCCTGAAGAATGTATTTAATGTGAGTAAAACTCTTTTTTAATTTCATATTTTCATTAAATTCCAGATCAATTTCCACTGTGCACATTCTGATATAATTGGTGGTTGCACAAGTTTCAAGGCTTATTGTTCCACTCAGGTGAATGTCCACTTCAGTAATCATCTCAAAATCACAACTGCATTGAGTGCATCTTTGCTTTCATTTCATCACTGCCTGATGATGACACCTTATCTGTGTCCACATGACACCTTATCTGGGTGAACTGTTTCCATTTGATAGCCACTGCCCCATTTCCCGCAGGGCGGTGTGGCGCGCGCACTCCGTCAGGCCTCCAGCAGCGCCGCCGGCACGACGACTGAGCTGGCGCCGTCGGCAAGGAAGGCTGTGGGCTATTGGCTGATGGGCTGCACCGGCATGGTCTTCGGAGCCGTCATGCTTGGTCAGTGGCCGCGGGATAGAGACAGAAGACGCCGGTGACCCTAAATCCGGGCGTCCTTAAAACCCAAGCAGCGTTATTCAGTCAAGTGTAAGGTGGATTCCGTTGTGTTCAGTGCAATGGAGGACGGACGTGCTCGCTCATAAATAGGCATTTTCTACACATAATTCTATCATATATATTCAAGTCAACTGAGGTGTGTTTGGATTGCCTATATCGCTTTTTATTTGTACTATAGCCAGTCAGACTGTTCTCATCCCCGCGTTGCGTCCTTGAAGTGACTGGTTGTCGCGCTTGCCAATGCCTGTATGTGCTGCGATCGTTCTGGCCGGTGACCTTACCCCGCCCGCAGGCGGTGTGACCCGTCTGACCGAGTCGGGCCTCTCGATGGTCGACTGGAAGCTGCTGGGCAGGTCGTGGCCGCAGTCGGAGATCGAGTGGCAGGCCGAGCTGGAAAAGTACCGGCACTACCCCGAGTTTCAGCTGTGAGTACCGGACGGCGGAGCGATGGCCGAAGTCGATAGCGAGGGCTGCTTCACGGTGGCGTGGGATAAATTAGGTAACCACTAACCAGGTAACCAACTCGAGCCGTCTTTGTCTGTCTAAGATAAGTGTATTACTTTGTCTTGCAGCCGCAGCCTCAGCCAATTGTGTGCGGGTGACGGCTCGTGAAGCATCAGTTCGGCGCATCGCCGAGCTTATGTTTCTCTTTCCCCGGTAATAAAGAAAAGTAACGTTTTTTGTAGAATGTGTAATGTGTATGAAAACTGAAAAGGAAAATGAGCAAAATACCTCTTCTAGTTTTGTATAAACATATCAAGCCACATCTTCTGTTTTCCTCACAAACGACTTACTTTTGTCTCCAGTAAGAACAAGGACATCACCATGTCCGACTTCAAGTTCATATGGCTGATGGAGTACGGTCACCGGATGTGGGGCCGGCTGATTGGCGCCACCTTCGCCCTGCCGGCTATCTACTTCTGGACAAAGGGCTACTTCACCAAGAGCATGAGGCGTCGCGTGCCCATCTTCGGCTCGCTGATTCTTCTGCAGGCGAGTGAACGGACCTCTGCTGTTCTGATGGTTGGGTTGGGATATCGTGGTTGTGGAAGATTTTTGGGACGTGCAAACTATTTCACAACGTGATATTAGCTCATGCGCGTAATTGTCCTTGCAGTAGTTATTTCTGTACCATTGAATGTGTTTCAGGTGTCGTCTTGCTTATTTGCGGATGCGTCGAAATCAGGACGGAATTTCTCGTGCTACTTTATCAGTAACTCTTTTGGGGATTTGAGTTTCGCTTGCCTGCTTTTTACTCTTGCATTATTATTCAGTCTGTATGTCTTGATGTATCGATTACGTTGGATCCACAGGGCCTGATGGGCTGGTACATGGTGAAGTCAGGTCTGGACCATAAGAACTTCGAAGGACCATCCGACGTCCCCCGGGTCTCTCAGTACAGGTGAGACATTCGATCATGTACACTAAATGATGTAGCGTTCCGCCACCGAGTGAAGTGCGTCTTTTTTGTGTGCCCTCTATAGATTGGTAATTAGCAACTGGCAAGTGTACCACTGTGGCCCGCAGAAGGCGTATTTTATACTACACATGGTTTAAAGATGGCATTTTGCTGATAAAATTCACTGTTTTTTTTCCAAAGCTATGACTCATTGTCCTTGAATCGGCGAATGTTTACGACCGTAAATGCACTAATTTCGACCGAATAAATACACTCTTTTGCTCTAGAAAGTATTGCACTCGTTACGTCTTCGACTTCGTGAGCCTCTCATTTACATCCCCTTTCCCCGTATCTCCGTCAGGCTGGCGGCGCACCTGGGCGCGGCGCTGGTGCTCGCCACGCTGTTCCTCTATAACGGCCTGGATCACCTGATACCAGCCCAGGTGGTCAAGGTGACCTCGTCCGTGCGCCGCGTGCGCATCATGGCGCACATCTGCAAGGGGTTCATCTTCCTGGCCGCCTTCTCAGGTACGGTGGGGGCTGGGAATGATCTCAGGGAGGAAGGTCAAGGATAAGAGAGCTTGGACTCAAAAAGCGGAATGATCTAATAATGAAATGATTTGTATTGAGATTGAGACAGTCAGCACTGGGGACTTTTATCTTACTTCCTGTTGAAGATTTGAGGATATGCCACTTGAGGATTTGTACCCTCTCATGTTTGAAATGTTGCGTTTCTTGTGGTAAAGTGTCATTTTGTTGTGATAAAATTATGTCAGTTTCCCGAAGCCTGGTTGTGAAAGATTGACAAATTGTATTTTATGTCACTCGTCTTTAACAGCTGACGACCCCTGTGACCTCCCCCACTGGCACTGACCGCCGCCCCCTGTGCCCGCCAGGCGCGTTCGTGGCCGGTCTGGACGCCGGCCTGACGTACAACGAGTTCCCGCTGATGGGCGGCCGCCTGGTACCGACCGATCTGCTGGCCTACGAGCCCAAACTCTCCAACGTGACAGAGAACCCGACCACCGTCCAGTTCAACCACCGTATGCTGGTAGGTATTCCACCAAACCACCAACCGCCGGGAGGGAAACGCGGGGTAGCCCGGCACCAATAAATATTTATTTGGAAAATGACATACGTAACGCAGTTGGTAACAAAGTTCTGTCATGTATGTGGAATCACGGTAAATCACAGATAATTATACCATTTGTGGTCTTATTCGAGTCATCGCTAGATGCTCGATTGAGTCGAATTAGGCTCGGGAGAAGCGAGCGAGTCATGCATGAATCATAGCATCATTGACGTATATTCATCACCTGTCGTACAAAAGTATAAACCCATGTCCTCCCGTAACAACTCTACGATCAAACTATTTAGCTACCCGACGTCAACTAACCATAATACATAATGCCCAAAAGCACAGACCCAATACACTTCATGCTGTTGCATGGCATACACCTAACTTTGCTGTGGAAGTTCCTGAGCAGAGTAGCAAAACTTTACAAGTAAGGTACAATCATTGCATGGAGTAAAGAGAACCAGTTTGGCTTGCTCTGAGGCACTACTGACCACATAGACCCGTCGCCATAACGATCGTCGAATCGGCGTCATGACAACCGTCGACCCGTCGCCATGACAATTCATTACCAGTGCCGCTGCGCCAGCCGGAGCGCGATGACGAACAGCGGCGGCAGCAGCAGGTTATCGGCCTGCGCCGTGAACGCCTCCGCCAGGGTGGTGACCCCGATGGCGACACACAGCGCGCGCCACATCTCCTGACCGATGTACAGGTACCCGGTATGGTCCAGCGCATAACAGAACAGCAGCTGGGCGGCGATAGCGGCCAGACTTCCCTCTATGGTTTTTGAAGACTGCGGCCACCGGGTCCGGCCGTACCGAGAGCCGACCACGGCAGCCACCGTGTCTCCAATACCCACAGTGATGACACCAGCGAACAGACTGAGGTCCTGACGGCGCCCGGCCGCCGTCACCTCGCCGGCGTGGTACCACAGCACGCCCGAGCACGCCGCTACGAGGAAGATGTTGGAGAGCACCAGGAAGCCGCCGTCCTTGGAATCGAGGAACGGTCGGAACCAGCGCTGGATGATGTCCGCCCACGGCTGCAGCCGACACGCCCGCGCGATCTCGGCGATGATAAAGAGGAAGGTGATGCCTCCGGAGGCGGCCAGCAGAAGCAGGGGGTCGTACAGCAGGCCCGGCACGAACACCGCGCAGATCAGCAGGTGGAACAGCTTCCTGAGCACGGCGCGCGACAGGCCGCCGCCGGAGCCGGAGGCGCCCAGCGCGGCGGCGAACAGCACCGCGCCGCCCAGCAGGGACGCCCAGATGGTGAGGAGGCGCAGCCGCGGCGCGCTGCCGGTGGCGAACTCCACCATCCACAGCAGGCAGTTGGTGTTGATGATGACCGAGGTGGTGACAATGATGGCGCCGGCCAGCAGCACCAGGAGCAGGTGCAGCCAGGCCGACTGCCGCGCCGACGGCAGGTAGGAGAGCAGCAGCAGCAGCCCCAGCAGCAGGCAGAAGGCGGTCTGCAGCAGGTGGATGACGGCCGCCCGCTCGCTGACGTACAGCGGCGACCCGAACAGCAGCAGCTCCGGTAGCTGGCCGGCCGAGGCGGCGCACAGCAGAGCCGCCGCCTGGCCCAGCAGCAGCGCCTCGCCGCCGGTGGCGCTGCCGCCGCCGCGCGTCAGCAGCGTGCCGGCCGTCAGCAGCTCGGCGGCGGCCAGCAGCGCCAGCCGCGCCACCTGGCCGAACGGCAGCGCCAGCGCCCAGCCCGCTGTCAGCACAGCGGCCGCGCCGCCGCCCAGGCTCAGCGCCGACTCGCAGTGGAACTCGGAGAGACAGGCGAACAGCGCCACGGCGGCCAGCACGCCGGCAGTGGCAGCCTCGCCGCCCGACGAGCTGACGTAGACGGCGGCCGGTAGCACCAGCGCGCACAGCACGTCATCGGCGAGCCCGGCCTGTCGGCGGTACACCCCGCCCATCCTGACCGTCACCGGCGGCTGACTGGTCACAGGCGGTCCTCAGGGCGAGAAGAAGATCTGGGGAACAAACTTCGTTTAGCACAAAGACTGAAATACAGCAGTAAAAATAGGCGTTGACCCTAGTCTCGTCAAAGTGCAGATAATGTGACTCTGCTTCATAGTACTGCGCTGTATCATGCATGTATTGCCCTGCCATCTTACTGACTTTATTTGTTTCATTGCAGGGTATGACTGTATTTGCGCTGGTCCACGGTCTCTGGTTCGCGACTCGTAAGGCCAAGCTGCCACCGAGGGCCTACACTGCTGCCAACGCCATGCTCGCCATGACGTACTTACAGGTAAGACTAGATACGACGATGGACACTTAAGGATATTACATTAGTGTTAGTGGTGAAATGATAGGTTAGGTATGTAATATAAATGGATGCACTCGTTCCGCTAACGATAAATATTGATTTTTGTAGCAAAAAAAAAAAAATACGTAAGGCACGGTGGCTTCCTGTTGCAAATGAGACATCATGCTACCTATTCCTCATTTGTCTGGGTGCTTTGTCACGCCCGCTGGTCGTTAAAAAAAAATATTAGCACTTTCAACGTAGTGATCGACAGCTGCGGTCACAATTTTTAATTTTTCACCTCTATTAGGCATTAGCTGTACGTAACCTCTTCTCTTACCACACGTATATGACTTCCGCCGTCTGACCCCTGACCGGCGTCCGTTCCGTGTGACCCTGACCAGTGTTCTCCCTGTCTGACCTCTGGTCCCTCTGTGCTCCGGCAGCTGACGCTGGGTATCGCCACGCTGCTGCTGTACGTGCCCACCCCGGTGGCGGCGTCCCACCAGACAGGCGCGCTTACCCTCCTCTCGCTGGCTGTCTGGATGACGCACGAGTGCAAACTACTGAAGTACGTGCCAAAGTGAGCAGGAGAACCAGCAGGTCTCAGTGCCAGTGGAGTCTTCAAGCAGGCACAGTGCGGGTTGGCGGAGTGATATGTGTGCGCACTACTGTGATGATCATGAAAGAATGTGTTGGGAGTTGCTGAAATTTGTTTGTTATTGAATGTGCTGCATTGTGTAGAGGAGCCTTGAGGTTGGTTTTCCCCTGTAGATAGTGCTAAAAGCAGGCATGTTATTTGCTTTTAAACATAGTTTTGTAATGTTTGTGTTTTTGACTGTGCTTACTGCTCATGAATAACATTGATGAGGATTATGCTTTGTACATCAGTGTAATTTACCACTGATTAGGCATGTTTCCATGACCACAGTGGATTCACAATTGATGTGTCTGGCTAAAATGGTGTAGCATGACATTTGACTGTCGGGTCTTCACCAGCTTGGCATTTTGTGATAGAACAATACATGTTATTTCTATTAATACTGTTTCACTTCTTTTGTTATTTTTTCTTAAACATAAGTTTACACACAACACAGCATTACCTACACATTGCTGTCAGCTGAGTGTCAAACTTCAGAAGTGGGCATATCGATAGCTTCAAACCCTGAATTCACAAATGAAAACATGTTCAGTGTAATTTCAATGAATAAAAAGAAATAGAAATGAGAATTAGGTATCATCCAAGTGGCATGCACGTATACAGAATGCATCCAGCATGTTCTTTAACTATCAATTTGCACATATGATAAGAAGTGGGAGGTCAGCATTACAACCAATTTATCTGCAACAATACACCAGCTAATGGTTTCATTGGGGTGTTCAGGGTTGATTTATCAACATCCACCACACTGAAACATGGATTCCCTCTCACTTCACATTACTCTGGTAGACATGCGTATTATAATGAGCCAGTGAAGCCAACAGGTGAGCTGATGACATGCCTGCATCATGCATGCTAGTTTTAAATTCCTTGGTGACAAAAATCTATTAAATTAATTTACATAATATTCCAACATTGATATTCTTGTCCACAAAAATCAAAAAGAGCAATTTTTTAGCTTATAACCTCCTACGGAGCTCTATAGCATTGCATCTTACCCTGAACTCCTTCGTGGCTTCTTCAAATTAGTTGTTTCAATATTTCATCCTAAATCGAAAAATAACGGAATTTCCAAGACCCCTAGTAGGAAATCCAACCTGTTTGACTCAGAAATGACGGAAATTACTGAAATGAATGGCGGCCCCGCCCGAAGATGAAACTTTTGTTATGTATTTATTGCGTCAGAAATGGCGAATTCTCACTACTATCAAAAAAATTTACTGCATTTTTATTTATTCATTTTCCCGCAAACCAATTAAATCATCAAAATTGCTCTAAAAATTATTTTTTTTAAGCATCAATCTGATCCCGAATAAATTAAAGAAACAATAAATAATACACATTCTTCACTACTATCAATCCATACACGCCGCATCCGCGTCTATTTTGTATCATTGTAAGCAGCAGACGACCGGGTGGTGGCGGTTGGGTGATTTCCCGCCTTTGCGGTATTATATAGGGTGAAAAACGACTCTAATATAGTTATTCAATAAGTCAGGACATTTTTCTCTGGTATCTGTATTAGCTTTATTGATTTCGCCCAGTGCTGCTACAACAGTTGACGGTTTTGATCCATAGGGTCGCAATCACAATGGTAAGTTAAAGTGAAATTTATTTCAATTTCCGTCTAATTTCAATTTTTGATTTGTTTTTTAATTGTTCAAAAACAAATCAAAATTTCTAATTTTGATTTGTTCTTTGTTGCTTCATCGTCTTACTTTTTTTGGCTATTACGGTGTCGTGGGATTTAAAGTATTGGTATAGATCGCTCCTACAAGCTTCAATTGTCTATCATTCAATTCAATTCAATTGTCTTTTGCTTCTTGCTTCATTTCAATTTGCGATTCAGAATTGGATAAAGTGTAGGTAGGTATGTAACCTTATCGATCCGAATAAATCAAAATATGAAAATTATAGGGTAAACACGGGGATGAAATGATGAAACCTGAGGGAAAGATGCTTTTTGTCCCGAATGATTGTCATTCGCCTTTGATTCGCCTCGCTCATCTTTCCCTTGCCTAGGGCTGCGTCGAGTCAGAGTCGGAGTTGGTCGGTGGAGTCAACAATGCTGGCCCGGAGTCTGAGTCCGAGTTTAAAAAGTATGGGTTCCGGGGCTCAACTTGGGAGTAGAATTCGACATTGCTTCAGCATTCAGCACAACTTGAAATCATGGTCAAAAAGCCTAAGAGGATTGTGGATCAGAATTGTTCTGGGAAGGCAAAAAGGCACACACATCTGGGGCATGAGTTAGTTTATCGTGATATGGTCTAACGATGGACAATTCGTGAGCCGGAGTCGATTTCCAAAGGCTTTGTATTGTATGAGTCACTGGGTCCTGGGAAGCCGTCTTGACTCTGCAGCCCAGTGAATTCAGGGCTGCGGAGTCGATGGATTTACGGCGACTCCGACCCCGACTCCGACTCCGGCTTTCAAAAACCAACTCCGACTCCGGGCAGAAATGTCGACTCCGATCGACTCCAACTCCCGACTCCGACTCCGCACACCTGGCAGGGCTGCGGAGTCGACAGATTTTCGGTGACTCCGACTCCGACTCCGGCTGGGGTTTCCAATATCGACTCCGACTCCGACTCCGGTCACAACTGTCGACTCCGACCGACTCCGACTCCGACTCCGACTCCGACTCCGCAGCCCTGCCAGTGATATCAGTTTATGATTTGGACATAGCGATATGACTTGATGAGGACTAACTATAATTGCTGAAATACAGAAGATAAACGTACTTTTACAATACTTGTATCGTTAATTATATCGCTGAGATATCAAATTACTTCAGGCTCGGAATTCCCGCAAACTTCTATACACCTCAGGACCATTGACCATTTCCACCGATCATCGGTTCGGAGCTCGGACCCTACTTCCATTGCAGTTAATACAACGATCCTGCCACTCGTGTGCGGACAAGTTATTCATTCGGCGCCGTTACGTGTCATGATCATTGATCGATATCAACGGAACTAAGGCACTGCATCCATTATGACAAGCGTCGCCCTTCCTGAATCGTCACCCTGAAGGCATGCATGAGAGAGTGTGGATGGAGTACGTGTATGTGCAATGTACAGCCCACCGCTAAAGTAATGTAGGGTTTTACCAATCTCAACGGTTGGCTTTGACTGGCGATTGTTTAATGCGGAGTGATAGAAAAGAAGATGTCAATAGCTAAAGTTGCAGCAGTGCAAGGGTGACGATACATATAAGCTACATTCAAAGTTTCATTGTAGTCTGGCTAATCGTTCCTAAGCTTCAGAAGCAGAACATACCCATGACTGAAACCCCACATTACTTCTGCTGTGGACTGTACATTCTCCCTTTGTGGTACGCTGGTCCGCGGCAGTACCTACCTACTGTCTGAAACTCGTTTCACTCCGCGTACGTTCCTGGTCACGGGCAGCGAACGGTGGCTGCCAGAAATCGATAGGACAGACTATTGATTATGCCTTCCATGTAAATTTTGCCTGATGGGGGAATGAGCCCAGTTGCCATTAAATATTCCGCACGGCGTCGATGTCATATGTCAAAGCACCCACCCGTAATCCGGATCAGTTAAATGCATTCGATGATCGGGGCTCTGTTCCCCGCTGCAGGGCCCGTTGCGATACCGCACTCTGCGACTTTTGCTATATTGCCGGGCTCCCGAATCGATCGCTTTAAATGGTCATTGTTTGACGTCGTTGATAAGCCACGAAAGCTGAAGAGAGATGTTTTAATCGCTTTTGATACACATGCGCTCATCCATTTGAATCGTTTCGTATCCATCAACTGGTAACATAGAAGGATGTAAATACTTATGTCGCTGTATGCCTGCAAATGCGCACAGTCACGCGTTATGCGAGCAGCTGTATCGTAGCGTTAATTGCATTACCATAGACAGGCATGCTACTGTGACTTGAACTACCTGTTCAATGCTTAGTATTTCATTGTATGAATGTATACCTCCTGCTCATCAGCTGTTCGTTTATCGTGCAGACTTCTGCAGGGCCGGCCAGGGGCCGGTTCGAGATGGCGCACTAGGAAGCTAGTAAGTAGGCGGCCAAGTGACAAGTTTGAAGATAGCTGACACTAAGCGGTATTTTACACCAATCGGCTAGTCGCTCAGCGCGAACAGAAATCGACTAGTGACACTTGAAATGAAGTGTCACAAGGGCCTTAGTGCGCCAACGCGAACGGGCCGCAGCTCCCTCTGCCTATCCCCAGCTCCGCTGATTCAACCGCTGACTCACTGCGGCCGTCGGCAGGGTCTGCTCTCACTGCTGAGGAAACTGCGGCCCGCCCAGGAGCGCGAGGTCCGTCTGCTGCTGCTCGGACTCGATAATGCCGGAAAGACCACGCTGCTGAAGGCGCTGGCCTCCGAGGACATCACCCAGATCACGCCCACGCAGGGCTTCAACATCAAGTCGGTGCTGTCGGACGGCTTCAAGCTGAACGTATGGGACATCGGCGGCCAGCGCAAGATCCGACCCTACTGGCGAAACTATTTCGATAACACTGATGTCCTGGTGAGTATTACTGTAGTGCTCTCATAGTTTAGGGCGCTGTGGCTGGTTTGCTAGCTATGAGTGTTATAGTTTGCGCGTTGCAGTGATGTTTTGCTGTTGGCAATTAGCTTTATGCATGTTGATAATTATGCTGGCCTTGCGACATCCAGTAAACACTGACCGTACCTGACATGTTTTTTTCACGCCTAGGCCTCCAGGGAGGATGTTGGCCTTTAGTCGCGATTGCATCGAATTTTACGACAAAATTGTAGCAATGTTGACATGTTTACTATCGTCGATCCTAAAAAGCAAAGCAGTTATATACAGGCTACAGTTTTTATCTTATGTTAACAACACCGTTTTAAGTGTTGCAGTCATTTTTTTCTTTTGTCAAATTTCAAGTGACATTGCTTGAGCTTCTGGGCCGTCGATTCCCTTCAGTTTTAGTTGTTCATTCCATCGAAATGCCTGTTCTAATTTCTCGGGAAAGAGGCCAGACTGGGCTGCCACACAATTTCGGTGCAACGTGGAAAAGGTCATTAGAATCTCATCAAAGTCATTCACACCAAAAGCGCCGTTGACTTGCAAATCCATATCATTTTCTAGCCAAACCAGTAATGGCCCATAACAACAGACACGCTATGGGCGAGAACGTCCCGGTCTAGATCCAGTCTGACCGGCCGTGAGGATTCTCTCGACCACCGGAGCATGCGCGTCCCGCCTCCGGCGTTAGAGTGAGCTCGGGGCGTGTGGCATTAGCCGTTTGGGCTCGTTAGTTCTCTATTATGGCCGTTGGTCGGGCGCGGGTAGTGTTTCACCCACGGTCGGTACCGTTTGTGGTATGATCAGGCGCGGAGTTGGTCGGGAATTCTCTCCGGAACGGCGGCTAAACGGCTCGCTCGGGCCGGACTGCGGCTGGCGGCTGCGTGCAGATTATGGCAATTAGACTCGTTGTGGATAATAAGGGTGGTGGCCCACGAAAAGCCGACGGTTTCCAACTTCTTGTCGGTCTTTTCGATGAATTATGGGCATTTGCTGACTGCTGTTTTGTGAACAAGCGCGGGAAACGTTTTGGCAGCACCACTGAATGCATTCTTGGCTAGACCGCTTATTTTACCTGTCGACGACCCTATTAAGAGTAGTGGCTTGCGTCTTGTAATCATATTTTCAGTGTAGTCATCTCATATACTACCTTCCATCGTCTGCTTTGCTCTTAGTCATCCCAATAAATTTTTTTCAGTTCATAGTCAATCACCACCATAGGCGTGTATGGTTTTCATCGTTTTGAAGCTCACCGCCTGTATGTCCCTTAAACTTCCCGGTGTTAACGCCCGCCGCCTTTCCTCTGGGTGATTTGCATCTACCTTCCGACCTCACACCACCCCGCCCGTCCCCGCAGATATACGTGATCGACAGCGCCGACCGTAAGCGGTTCGACGAGACGGGCCAGGAGCTGGCGGAGCTGCTCGCCGAGGACAAGCTGGTCGGCGTGCCGGTGCTCATCTTCGCCAACAAGCAGGACCTGTTCAACTCGGCGCCGGCCTCGGAGATCGCCGAGTCGCTGGGTCTGCACGTGATCAGGGACCGCGAGTGGCAGATCCAGGGCTGCTCGGCCGCCACCAATGAGGGCGTCAAGGTGAGGGGTGATGGTGGAGTGGGGTGGGGAGGGCA